GCACTTGTATATTGTTGTCCTAATGTTAGTTTAACTGCCTCTTGTTCTCATTTGTAAGTCGCTTTGGATAAAAGCATCTGCTAAATGAATAAATGTAAATGTAAATAAACTGATAAAGGAACAGGTCCATGTTTGTCATTTGTAAATAGATGTAAAATTACTAAAAAAAAGGATAGTGTGGTGATGCCTTATTTTACAAATTACTTTTTTTCCATCCAAAAAAAAACGAAAAATATGAATTACCTCAACAACAGTAATTGTTGTTTCAGTTGCTGTGACAAGAATATATTAAGTACAACAATCAACATTGCATGAACATTTACGTTGGCTAAACAAAGTATTTTTACCGAGAAGAACACTTACTGCATCAAGTTGCCTAATATTTTTACGTTTTCTCAACTATTTATTTAAAAGGCTGCCAACTCTCACGCATTCAGACTATGTCAGTGTCAGTGTGTTTTAAACCAGTTATAAAACAGGAGATATGGTGGCTTGAATGACTGTGAGGCAGTCGAGGAGTTTCACCTCATTCGTCGTATAAAGCTGATCTTTCTGAACGGTCTGATCTCTCAGCGCTGCACTGTCTGGGAATTTCCTCTTTTCAGATCATCACAAGGTAACTAAAACACTTTATCTTTAATTGTTCTCTAAATAGATTTTTGACAATTATTTAAATCCAGACATTTATGTGTCTAGTGAAACTGAAATGTAAACCTGTATTGCTCAACAATCATTAACTGATTTTAAACTTCACTCTGAACTTCACCACTGTATTATTTTAAACAGATATTACCAAAGGCAAAATATCTGATAAATTACAGCATTGGAGAACATGTAGCCTAGGCCTATTGAGCTTCACAAACTACAACATAATTAAACGTGACGAGAGAGAGAGAGAGAGAGAGAGAGAGAGAGAGAGAGAGAGAGAGAGAGAGAGAGAGAGAGAGAGAGAGAGAGAGAGAGAGAGAGAGAGAGAGAGAGAGAGAGAGAGAGAGAGAGAGAGAGAGAGAGAGAGAGAGAGAGAGAGAATGGTGAACAAAAAACACAAAACGTTACAATCTAATGAACCACAACAGAAAAGACACGCCGAGTCTAGTGAGAAAAAACAACATTAACATTGGAAAACCGAACGCTATCGCTTAAGATCTCTCCTCTACTATACAGAATAAAAAAGAAAGAAACATTGAACACAGGATGGATGACTCTTCCTCAAACACACATTGACCCCAAACCACATTTTTCCAGGCGCTACTGTCAAGCTGGGACACGTCAAAACACATTCAATTGTTATTCAAATGTAGGCCCAATGAATGAAAGGGATAGTTCACCCAAAAATGAAAATTAGCCCATGATTTACTCTCCCTCAAGTCCTCCTAGGTGTATATCACATTCTTCTTTCAGAGGAATAAAAGGGTTCTGTTGGAAGATGGCGCACTCTTCATCTGTTGTTTCACATGATGGCCTGACAGTGTGTGACTTTGCAATAGATGATCATGTTATTTCTGATCACAAACCTATTACTTTTAGAGTCCCCACATGTTTTAAAGGTCCCGTTCTTCATGTTTTTTGAAGCTTTGATTGTGTTTACAGTATGCAATATAACATGTGGTCATGTTTCGCGTGTAAAAAAACACAGTATTTTTCACACAATTTACTTATCTGTATACCGCTGTTTTCACTGTCCAAAAAACGGGCTGATGACTTCCTTGCTCTATGAAGTCCCTCCTTCAGAAATACGTCACGAGTTCTGATTGTGCCAGCGGTTCCTGTGTTGTGATTCGACATCAGCTTAGCGCACGTTGCCCGGAAAGCTCACGCCTCTTACCATAACGTGGAGATGCATGCGCACATTTTCGGGAACCGAGTTAAACATAAATTGTAACCATTGATCTCTAAGCACAGCGTCCCTGGGAAGGCCAGACACAGGTGAATTGACTCCGGCATGAAAATAACAGTGTCTCGACGACCTGGCGACAAACACACTCTACAAACGAAACTCTTCCTCTTCACCGTGGAGCGCAACAAGACAACGCCCCCTTTTTTGTGTATTCCTGTGGGCGGAGATTAGTCAAAAAACTGCTCTAGTTACGTCATTAAAACGGAAGTAGAGGGATGTAGTCCAAACCGGCCGTTCGCTGTAGGCTTTGAAAGTGGACTTCTGTTAAATAAAATCAAGGGCGAAATTGTCAATCACACATTGGGGGGGACAGCTGTGGAACTTTTTGTGTTGGCGCATGCACACATTTTTTTAATCAAAATAAAATAAAAGTCAGAGTCCGAATGTTTGTAATTGTAGGCCTATAACACAACAAGGAATTTTATTACATCTGATCGTCAAACCAACGTATAGCCTACTCACAATGATTACAGCATCGGCATCAATTACAGGCCTGAATTGACAACAAAGCGGTCAGTGATCTCTCTCTCTTATATTCTTCTATAGGGGCGTAGAATTTAGTAGGGACACTAGGGACGTGTCCCTACCAATATCCAGTGACACTGATATATCCCTAGCAATAATTTCGATCAAAACTTAAAATATATTTATATTGATGTCCCCGTCCCCACCAATTTCAAAATCAAACCTACGCCACTGCTATAAACATATAGTGGCTATAAACATTTTGATTAAATTACGGTTACAGGATAACAGGATATTTACCATTCATAGATAGCCTATGTGCCAAATGTCTGTCAATTTCCGCGCTCCTCCTAACTCTTTTTCTGTTTGGTTTTTCCTAACTCACTGACGATGCACTAGGGATAGGAAAACATGACATGGATTTCAGGAGAAATAGGTTTTGCTAAATGTATAGTGTAAGGAAGTCCGAATGGATTTGGGAAATGGACCGGCCGGGATTTTATATTTTCGGAGCTGGGAAGAAAGACGTAGGCTATTTGCAATCACATCTGGCCCTGCCCGCATAATCATACAAGCCGCGTTTCCATTAGGCTACTCTTCAAATTGCGCCAATTGAAATTGCGTAGCCTAATGAAAATGCGCACAATGGAAACACGTCCATTTCGCAAAAACTCCCGTTTATCCCAATAAAGTTTTTACGCTTGCATGAGGAGGCTTTTCAGGCAATTTGAAAAAGGAATATTTCGCAAAACTGCAATGGAAACGGGTTTTGCGCATTTACAGTCAGCTGACTTAGAATACGCGGTGTGTTTTGGGTCCGTGTCCGCAAATAATAATTATAATTATCATCATAACATTTATTATATGTAGAAGACGCTTTTATCCAAAAAAGGAACAAAGCAATTCGTCACATTTCATTCATAATACAGGTTGGACAATAATAATAGGGCTAAGATTATCACAAATAAACACAAGATTTTGACGCATATCCAAGTGTGTGTGCGGACTGGGTGTGGAGTGCGCACTGGATGGCACGGAGGCGTGGCCGCGAACACTTGCATTTTCCTATCAACAGTCGAAACAACTTAAAATACTCTATCATTTCTGGTCATACAGAATATAATAATACATTATTCGCAACTACTTTTATTTGCGTAATCTCACAATAAGAAGAAAACGATGTGGTTTTGTAAAATAAAATAAAACAATCAGGCGCGCTTTCATGATCTCCGTGAACTGAAGCGCGAGAACTGATAGGCTAGCCTTTGTAGACTGAAGCTTTAAATGTCCACTTTAAAAGGAACAAATTCGAATCGAAAGCTAATACCTTCTGATTATGTAATCCGTATGAAAGGTGCATTTCTCTCTAAAGGTGCATCTGGAGATGGAGATATGTTTTTAGCCGACACTGATTTAGGAAAACAATAGTTTATTAATAAACAATTAAAATGCCTCGTTATTTTTTGCAGACACATTTATTATAGCCTAACTCAACTATACATCCCCTTTCTGTAGGCTGTGGTTATGGCTCTTCTCATTTAGCACTGCGGTAAAAATATAATTTCCAGGTTCTAATTTGGCCTTAGAAAACCAGTAAAATCTACATTTTTTTCTCCATATTAATTTGTGAATATTTTAAATGTTTAATAAAGGGGCAAAAAGTCATAAACAAATATTTGAAAATTCGTCTCTCTCTCTCTCTCTCTCTCTCTCTCTCTCTCATATATATATATATATATATATATATATATATATATATATATATATATATATATATATATTATTTTTTATTTTTTTATTTTTTTGTGCAGCATTTGGTGTAGGCCTACAGGTCAAACTAAAATGTTGGTGTTCACCTTTGCGTTTTAAAAATACAACAACCGTTCATTTTTCGTTTTGCAATTAGGCCTACGGGTTAAATAAGAAAAATGAATGCAAGTACACTGACCGTTTGGACATAATACGAGACGGAGTTCTTTATTGAATTCATAAAATAAACAATAATTACAGGAGTAGTCTACTGGGCTCTAAACCCACTGATCTATATAATGACATTAATAAAGTCATTCTATATTGATCAGTGTCTAAACCTCAAAGAAATGCCACAATCAAGACATCGGAGCAGAAATGAGGGAGAAACACCCAGGAACTCCGTGTCTTTCCCTGCCATTAACGCTTGGATAACACGCCACGTCTCCTTCCATTAATAATAATAATGTCTATGCGGTGGCTGTGATATAGGCTATAAACCTACCAACGTCCGTTGCCATGATTTTTGGAATGACTGATCGCGAGAGGAAAAAAAGACGTTTTAGTCGCATAACATCGGTTAATGGAACGCCGTCATTTCGCAATAGTTTTTTATCGACATTTAGAAAATATCGCAAAAGTTTTGCGCAAATCTGTAATGGAAACGCGCCCCAAATATGATCAAATATTGGGGGGGACAAATTGCCCTTCGTTGAATATTGGGGGGGACGTGTCCCCCTGTCCCCCCATAGGATTACGCCTATGAATAAAATATCTCCCTAGGCATTGAACTTGGAGCTTAATAATTTTACAGGTATTATTTATGCTCTAACAGCTACATTACACACTAACTAAAGTTTGAAAAATGGAATCACGAAGAATGGGACCTTTAATGATAATTGCATTGTTTTAGAATGTTCCTCAACAGTTGACTGGCTCTGTGGACTGTGGGATCTTCATGCTGATGGTGAGAAAAAGGGAAAGTAAAAAAAATAAATTTAGATAAATCATAAGAATGAAAACATGATATGGTTGCCTAAACTTGACTGATTTCCTTTTTTGGGGGGAGGGTCAAAATCACCATAAAGTGCCTTTGAGATTTCAAAATTTCCACAAAAAAATCTGAGATTTTCCATTTAACTTTATATGTGTTGTATTAAGGAGACCTTAGGCTGTTAGAAATGCATATTGGTCAAGCTCCCGCAGTTTATATGAATTAACTGCAAGCTGACAATATACGAGCAAACCATACAATATGTCCACCCTGTCATGGACAAATTCAAAGTAGAATATATACATTTTCATTGCATAGTGATTATAAAATGTAGATCTGCAGAAAGATAATGTGTCCCTTTCCCAACACAACATTTTAGTTAATGGTAAAAGTATTTTGATAATAATGAAGTTACTGCCTAAATATATATTGCCCAATATAATATGCGATAGTTGCACATTCTTTTCTAAATAAAATCTATAAACAAATATATTTAGTCAAACTTTAAAACAATACTAACTGGACCTCATTTGTTTATTAAGAAATCACACACAAGGTTTTGTTAACTTGTTAAAATAATTTGTTTAATTTCAAAAAAGTTTAACATGACAGGGTGGACAACAAGTTGACAGGGTGGAACTTGGCATGACAGGGTGGACAAATGCTTTAATGTTCTAACCTGGAGGGAGATTCAGGAATATTAGGAGACTTTGGTGGTGTCTCTGACTGTAGCAAAGCACTGGCTCTGGCTCTGGCTTGCCTTTTTGTTTTATCTTTTTCCCCTTTTCTCTCTCTCACTTAGCTCATTAATACCCTTCTTCTTTCCAGTCTCTCTGTCTTTTTCCCCCTCTTTCTCAAGGTACTTTCTTCTTCTCTCTGGGTCAGCATCATGACATTACCTATATCGCCTTGCTATTAGGCTCATTCCTGGTAAAAAAAATATATATTTCAAAAGAATTCAAAACGTTCTCTTACAAATTCCCCTTAAATTGGTCCAGCTAAACTAGGCTTGCCTAGTCTTATTTATTTACATTGTTAGGGCTGTATTTTTTTTTCAAACAGTCAATGAAATCCATGTCAATCTTTTATTACATAGGAACAAAGGTTTGTAAACTATCATCAAATTATCGTCATCATCAAAACACCTGCTGATAGTGATATTGGAAAAAAAGTCCACGTCCACGCATGTATAGAATCTACTGTTCTAATAATATGTGTTATAACTGTTCTAATATGTGGGGGGGGGAAAAATCAAAATGTGGCGAAAACTGCAAATGTCCTCCTTATCATGAACCATGTCCACCCTGTCATGGAAGGCTTGGTGACAGGGTGGACAGTGACAGGGTGGACATTTTTTTGGCTAAAGTTAGCATTTAATGAGCACATGGTATACAGCAGTTAGCAAAGTGATTCACTGTTGAAAGCTGACTGTGTACTGTTTAAAATGTATATTTTGAATATCTGAAAAGTTTTTATATTAATTAATATTTCACAATGACAGGGTGGACATGTTAAGCTTGACGACACGCAACTACAAACACAATATGATGAAAATTAGGAAATATAAGTGTAGATACTTACTGTGTGTGCTGCAGAGGTTTTAACCTCCACTGAAGAAAGACCAAATGGGGGAGGGATGTCACTGAGTACATTAGTTGGTTTCTTAAAGGGGCGTTTACCTCATAATGACAGGGTGGACAGCAATTTCAGGGACACATGCAAAATGCTTAATATTATTATGAAAATAAAATATAAATAATCAAAATGGCTTGTTTTAGTAAATAATTTGCTGAGGACAATAAGAACATTCAAAAAAAATTTAATTTTATGTAATTTAACCACTTTTTACACTCACTGAAGTTAGCTGATCAGCGTGTGGGACATACCAAAATCACAGACATCCAATCAAAGAAAATGGTATAAAATCAGAAAAACACATTTCAAGAGACTTATTATTGTACTTGTATGTGCGTAAGTGTTTGGCCATTTATAATAAAACCTCAGAATTTCATTATTTTGCATTATGTTCATGATGACTGAGCGATTCTGATGAGGACACCAAAGGCACTTTATAGTGATATTGACTCGGGAATTTCAGTATGCTCTGCACATGGTCTTTGAGGCACCCTTTGATTTTACAGCTGTAAGTCTTTGTTAAAAATATATATTTTAACTAGATGATATATTCTATTAAATTGATCTATTAACACTTTCTCCCCTTATGCAAGTCGGATTTTCCTCTTATTCGAAAATGGTGGTGCCTTATTCTCATGGAGAATTTTGCCATTGAAAGGTAACTCTCTCTTGCTTTCTCAAGTTTTTCTCTGTCTATAAATTTACTTAAAAATGTATTTGTCACAGGAAACATGCTGCCGTTGATGTGCAGGAGCCTAAAGCACAAGAAGACTCTGAAATCGGCGACAAGGTATGTTTTTATTGTCTCAAACGGGCACATGAAAGAGCATAATTTCAAAACATTAATTTACATGCATCCTGATTAAACCACAATGTATTGTTGAGGACACTTCCAATCTCCCCAACAGATGGAACAACAGATGGAAATTAGCTAGCAGCCAAATGTGGTGCATCTCTTCTCTTGTGAGAATAATTCTTTTAAATGAATTAATTATTTCATTCCTTTTTTGTACTCTTCTCTCATGAAGGAACCACAGATGGTCAAAGACCTCAGGACCGCAGTTGGATGGCTGCGGAACAACTGCCACTCCTTCAGAGGTTTTGTGCAAGAGCCGTCATATCTGGACCTAGAGAAGGAAGACCAGGAAGAGGCCCTTCTTGAACTTGATCGGGCAGAAGGAAAAGATGCTCTGGAACTGGCCAAAGAGCCTTTCATGTTTCGGTTCCAGTTTCAACAGGACATGGAAGTTTTTCTTTTAAAATGTCACGATGAAAGGCACCTCAGAATAAACTCCAAGTCTATGGAGGTTCAATTTATGTTATTTATTTTTCTCTTGAGAGTTATTGTTTTCAAATTTGTGCCTGTATAACTTTTATAAGATTTATTTTATTTGGTTTAATTTTGTTTTATATAATTTATTTATTTATTTAGTTTGATTTTGTAATTTTATTTAATTCGAAAACAGCTAGTGTGTGATTTATTTTTATATTTCAGAGTAAAAAACTCATTTTATTTAAATTCATATTTTTTGTGTTTTCAGTCCATAAAATTATTTTAAATTGAATAAAATGTGTTAAAACTCTCAAGCTTTGTTTTCATTGTATTATTTATTTTTTGTATTATTACATTTTATGCTTTGTTTAATGTATAATATTGTTAATACATCTTAAATATACATTTTCAATTAAATCGTTTAAAAGAAAGTTTTTAAAATAACGTTGTTTTAAACTTTAAAACGTTCCAAAACACGGAAGTAGCGTAATGCCTTGCCGCGCCCACTTCCGCCCTCAGACTGTCAGGCTGGCGCTGTCGTCCTCAGACTGTTATGACGTAATGGTTCTGCGGTTCTGCAGTCAGACCTATCTCCGGTGACTGACAGACTCGCAGTCTCAAAACATTGTGTTCATCCGCGCTGTTTCATGCCGATGTGCAACTCACGCAAAGTTAATAATTCCGCGAATAACTGCAATTACAGATTTCAAACAGAGATGGCGACAAAGAGGAAAAATGCCGGACTGCAGCTTTAATGTAGTGATGACTTTCATTTCTGGCGTTATGGCATTCCTGCGCTGTTGGAGATATTAGCGTGTCTCTAATAAGATCAGTCACAAACATGATCCCTGCACGATCTCATCTATAGCGTCTTATTAACTCACTGCCATCTATTGTCTGCAACACATTTCTTCTCCCTCTTCATCGTTCTGTCATTTTCTCCTCTGCTAAAGAAACTCTTAAGCCTCTTAAAAGTCCTCATCCGTACTCCTAACAATTTTGACCTTAAGACCTCTTTTAAGGGTTAAGATGCTTTCTGGATGACTTTTTTCTTTACTAGGATTTTTTCTTTCATTTTAAGAGTAAACGCCCACATTTCTAAGAATTTTCTTAATTGTGTCACTGGAGCGACTCTTTGCATTAAGATTCTTTATGAATACGGGCCCTGATTCTCTTTGAACAGATCTCATAGCGTAGATAGTTTTATGCAAATTAATACTTTTCGAACATTTTAGATTACATGTAGAACTTTTAGATGAATACATGTCCATTATGTCTTTATAAACTTTCCTGTAGTTCCCATGTTCACCACACAGAGGCGCATCACACACAGGTTCACTTTTCTCATATTCTTTTGAACATACATAGCGCAATGCCATAATGGATGTTTAAAAAGAAAGTTAAAGTAAAATTAACAGCAACTATGCTATATATTTAGATTAAACCAATATGGGACTATATGAAATCACAGCTAGAAAAAATAAATGACTTTATATTTTACATATATTTAAGGGTTAAATAATTTTTCAGAATCAGAAAGAGAACAAGTGATCTGTGCATCAATGCATGACAAATAGGCATGAAACTGGCATCATGTTGTGAAGTTGTCTCAAGTGTACTTGTGTTATTCAGATGAAATATGGACTGGGTGGATTTGTAAAGTCCATGTGTGACGGTGTATGATTTGTTTCTTTCTAAGAAAGAGCGCTTTTCTCTCTAAAAGCAAAGCACTTATTGCCATGATTACTCTTATTAATCTGGGGAAGAACAGATCTGTCAATGACTTGCTATGAAAGTGTCATTAACAAACAAACACAAAAAATCCTGTCATTTCTACATTAAAACTAATTTGACATGTCAATAGAAATGGTTAGCGCTACAGAGCTGCATTATATCATTACACACAGAAGAGCTTTTGCATGAGCAAATCTCACAACTATTCTCTTGTTAACTCGACTCAGATCATTCATTCGGTCCATCAGTTCAGCGATGCAGAATATTTCTGGTCAAGCTTTAGATAACCGCTGGTGCAGAGACACAATCGCCTAAGAGGAGAACATTAATCAAAGCAAAAGATATGTAACTGAGTAAAACATTTTTTTTATATATGTATAACTGCTGCATATGCTATAGCCTACATAAAAATCATATTCAATATTCAAACTGAAAGAATATAAACCTGAAAAAGGCACCAACTATCACAGCATGAATGTTTACATACACATAGTAACAAAGCTAATAAAGAGTACAATGTTTACACTGTACAACCTTGTTGAAAAACAGATATAACAGCAGTACAAAAAAATAGGAGACATTATACATGCATTTGAACAAGCTTTTTCGGTAACACTTTACAATACGGGTGCACTAATAAGCATTAATTCATGCTTAACTAATGCACAGATAATACTGAATTAATGTGTAACTAATGATTATCTAAGCTATTAATTAATGATTACCACATTAGGAACTAATTAAGAGTCTGTATGATTAATGTATTAGTTCATACATGAATGGTTATTAATTAAATATGTAATTGTGGATTAATTCCCTAATAACTCATTTTTTTAACTAATAGTGTTAATTAATATGTTTATTACCAGAATGAGCCAAAGCCTTGTATTTCAACTTCCAGATAATATGCGTTAATACATGATTAATTACTTCATTGTTAGTGCAAATTCATGTGTAAATTACTACAATTACTAAATGACTAGTTAATAATGATGTGCCTCAACAAGTAAAGTCATAACATAATGATACCTTTGCAAATCATTAGCTAATGATTAATTAAAGCAGACAACTGGTAGTTGAAGTGCATAGCTTTGACTAATTGTGGTAATTAACACATTCATTTACACTATTAGTTAATAAAATATGTTATTAAGGAATTAATACACAATGACACATTGAATTAATAGCAACTCATGTATTACTTAATCTATTAATCATATAGACTCTTTATTAGTTGCTGATGCAGTAATAATTAATTAATGGTTTAGTTCTTCATGAATCATACATTAACTCATGATTATCTGTGCATTAGTTAAACATGAATTAATGCATATTAGTGCACACGTATTGTAAAGTGTTACCGCTTTTTCTTTCTGTATTCTTTCATCCTCTAAATTAGAAAGTAGAGACAGACTCATTTATAGCTTTGTGAGAATACAGTACAGTCGAAAAATTCCTAGTTTTAGTTTATCTCTTCACTTTTTGGATGTTTCAGCAGAATCAGACCTTGAATTATCAATACCACTTTTTTTTTTAAATCGCAACAAAATTGTTTTAAAACTTCTGCTATTATAATGAGATATCTTAGTGAAGATCATTGGCTAAAAGGTGAAACTATCCAATTGACGATCCTCTTAACGCTCTCTACTGTATTGTGAATGATACTGGTTTTTCTTATCAGTTCCTCTTGAGCCTTTGCTAATTCTTTTCGCATTTTCTCTAGTTCTTCCTCTTGAAACTTGTACTTTAGAGCCTCCATTTCCCTCTTTCGTTGTTCTTCATTCTCTTTCAGGATCCGTTGTGTCTCTTCCTCAATCGCTCTCTCTGCCTCCTGAAGCATGGCATTACTGTAATATTCTCCACCATTATCAAGAACCATTTCATCAATCTTGTGTAGCAGCCTCATAACCTGTTCTGGATCCTTATTATTATTATCAATCCCAAAATATTGTCCCCCGCATCTCTGGACAAATTCTTGTAATTCTGGACTCTTGCGCACAAATGTTTTAATGTCCTGGCCTTCTAGTTCATCCGCATGAGTGAACAGCACCATGGAGTAATTTAATGCCTTTTTACCAAATAATCTTTCAATGTATTCTATTGCTTTTGCATCTTTTTCTGTGTATCTTTCCAATGTAAGAACAATCAGAAAGGCATGTGGACCAGGAGTAGAATAAGATATACACGTCTTAATTTCTTTCTCTAGCTCTTCATGACTCAAACTTGTGCCAAAAACACCAGGAGTGTCAATAATTGAAATCTTTCTTCCATTAATAATCCTAGATTTCTTTTCAGACTCTCGGGTTACAGATGAAGGTGAACGATGTGATTTGAAGACTTCTTCTCCCAGGATGGTGTTTCCAGTGGCACTTTTCCCAACGCCGGTCTTTCCAACCAGGACAATCCGGAGCTCATTACGTTCTGTTAAATAACACAAATCACCACATTCAAGGCTTATTATTGATTTTCTGTTTTCTGTTATTCATGACAGATAAAATAATTACATTTTAAATTAAAGCTAATTAAATTAAAATCAATTGTTTTGTTTATGCATACAAAGCTCAAAAGCAAAAGAAAAAAAAAGAAAAAAAAATTGAGGATAGGAAAAATTATATTTACCAATCCCATTTTGTTCAAGACCGCAATGATGGGTGAGGGAAGTTTGGCTTTCAGTCGCACAAATCTGCAAATAAATATATACATAATGTGGTTGAAAGATATTTAGGTGTGAAATTGTCTGTCTGTGTATATATGAGAGAGAGAGAGAGAGAGAGAGAGAGAGAGAGAGAGAGAGAGAGAGAGAGAGAGAGAGAGAGAGAGAGAGAGAGAGAGAGAGAGAGAGAGAGAGAGAGAGAGATTTTGATTTCTAGAAAAAACTTTATTTAACAAGACAGCTTCATTTGAAACAACATCTATTCAAACAACTTCAAATTAATAACATATAAAAAATGAGTTCTTCCTCAATTACAGTACAAATGATATTATTATAACACCACTGCAATTTAAAACACTCTACGTCATTCATTACCTATAATACTTGTATTCAACACCAACCCTAGCTTTTAAAAAAGCTTTAAAAAGAAGTAAAACATCTTGACCATGACTGTTCTCAATTCTATTTCTCCTTGTGATGTAAATTGCAAGTTTAGCTTGTCCAACAATAAAATTAATTAGTGTGAAATTTTCCTGAAATCTTAAAAAACAGATCCTTCAATATAACAAAAAGTATTTCCAAACTAATACATTCTGTAAAACAATGAAAAACCGTTTCTCTGGTACCACAAAAAGAGCATTTGTCAACAACATCCGCATTTATAACAGAAACAAAAGCATTAATAGCTATAGCCCCATGCAATATATGCCACTGCAAATCCCCGGTTTGCTTATTCAATGGTGGTTTGTATATCACCCTCCAAACTGGCTTATCCTCTTCTTGTAACCCAAACTTTTCTCGCCACACAGTGTCTTTCTTCTCATTTAATGCCACTTTATTAAATATTTTCGCAAAACACCTATACAACAATTTTCCTTCAACCAAACCCAACTCAAAATCATGCAACCCTTTTAAATCCAGCAAAATACCAGACATACCCTTTAAATCTGGAGAAATTACAATTTCCAGAAATGGATGGAACTAGGTTTCCATTACCAAAATTGTGCAACATAATTAGTTATTCCTCTGTTAATCTTTCTTTCCATGTTTTTAAAATTATCTGAGGGAAGAGGGAAGACCTCTGGCCTAATGCCGTGGCCAATGCAGATACATCACTTAAGTCAGGTCCTACAACATCAATTCAATCTTTTAGTTTTACCATACCAGAGCCACAAAGCCTTAGCGTAAGACCTGGAAAACACTCATTTGATAAAGCAAAACGAGATCCTTTGACCAACGGCTCCTCGAACAACCAGAATAAAGAATCTGTCCTTCCATTCCTGGTAAAATTAAAATGTCCCCACATTTTAAAAAGTCTACGGTAAAAAGAAGGTAAGTCCTTTAAGTTCAGCTGTTTATGATCCATAAGTATCAGAGTGCTGTCAAGTCCAAGTCTATCAGTCTTCTGTAGGATAATCTGGGCAGCTTTTCTCCATATCAGATCTTCAGGACCAGTTAATAGTCTCTGGATGAATTGCAAGCGAAAAGTTGCCAGTCTACTTGGAAGGTGCACCATTCCTTGGCCGCCTTCTTCCACAGGCAGAAAAAGTACGCTTTGAGGAACCCAATGGAGCCGATCCCAAAAAAAATTAACAAACATTACTTGCAACCTGGAAAGCAAACCAGGAGGAGGGTCCACACATGTCAATCTATGCCACAATGATGAGGCAGTCAAATTGTTAATTATTAGAACCCTTCCTCTAAAGCATAGGTTCTCAAAGTGCGGCCCGCGGGCCAATGGCGGCCCGCCGAAACATTTCTGGCGGCCCGCGATAACATCTGTAAAACTGTTAAAACTATTGCTTTGAAAAAATGAATATCTCCGTTTAGTGGTGTTTAGCGGCATCCATAGGCATAAGCGGTAATTACATGGTCCGACCGACCGATCGCACTTGACCTCACTCCCAAGGCCACCAGGAACAGTGGTTGTCTACACAGGAATAGGAATCGTGGCCAACCAAAACCAGCACCACAAATCCCATTGCAATTTAAAAGGGTATGTTGACCAAGTAATCAATATTCAATGTGACTTAATAATAATCTTAACAATGTCAAGCTTATTAATAGCCGCGTTTCCATTACCTTTCAAAATGTTCGCGGGCGCGAACACTTGCATTTTCCTATCAACAGTGGAAACAACTTAAACTAGTCTATCATTTCTGGTCATACAGAAAATAATAATGCATTATTCGCAACCACTTTTATTTGTGTAAACTCATAACAAGAAAACGTGCTTTTGTAAAATAAAATAAAACAATCAGTAGGCTAGCCTAGGCTACTATACGCGCTTTCATGATCTCCGTGAACTGGAGCGTGAGAACTGAAACAAAATATAGCCTATGTAGGCTAAAGCTTAAAATGTGCACTTTTAAACAAACAAACTCGAATCGAAAGCAAATACCTGATTATGTAATCCGTATGAAAGGTGGATTTCTCTCTAAAAGCGCATCTGCTTAACAGCGGAGATGGAGATATGTTTTTAGCCGACACTTAGAAAACAATAGTTTATTAATAAACAATTAAAATGCCTCGCTGTTTTTTTCAGACGCATTTATTATCATTAGCCTATAACTCACCTATAAATCAGGCTAGATCAGACACAGGCTATATGGCTCTTCTCATTCATCACTGCGGGAAAAATATAAATTCCAGGTTCTAATTTGGCCTTAGAAAACCAGTAAAATCGACATGTTTTCCATATTAATTTTTGAATATTTAAAATGTTTAATAAAGGGGCAAAAAGTCATTTAAACAAAAATCTGAAAAAGTCTGTCGATATTTACTTTTTTGCGCAGCAGTTGGTGAAGCCAGTTCAAATTAAAATTTTGTTCAACTTTGCGTTTTAAAAAGACAACAACCGTTCATTTTTCGTTTTTCAGTTATGGGTTAAAAACGATAGATAATAATATGCAAATATGCAATAATGGAAACGCGACTGACAAGCAATGATAGAAATGAATGATGATGATGACTTGTTTGGTAAGCTTCTATTTTAAAAGTTTCTTTCTCTCCCCCCCCCAAAATTTTCACAAGTTTTGCCAGGTTTAGCCTCAGTTATGAATTAAAATGTGTTTATTGCAACTAATGTAAACTGTAGAGATGCAACCTGGTCATTAAAATAATTTCAAATGGGATTTTCTTTTTTTCATCGTTTTCTCCCCCGCCACTTTGGCGGCCCTCAGTTCAATGTTGGGTTCCTAAATTGGCCCTCACCAATCAAAACTTTGAGAACCCCTGCTCTAAAGGATAATTGTGGATGTATCCACTTCCATCTCTTTAATCTACCCTCTATTTTTTCAACCACCCCAACCCAATTTTTTCCTTGCGTGACAGTATCCCCGATAAAGACTCCTAGGTATTTAATCCCTCCTTTTTTCCAAATTAACCCACCAGGTAATGATGGTGTGACGATCTGCGGCTGGAGTGCCCGCTTGAGCCTCTGGAGGGCACTCCTTCCTAGTTTATTGTTTCCATTATGTTTTACCCTGGACTGATTATGGTTTATTTGTTGCACCTGTTTTAGATTGAGCGTCCCTGATTTAAGCCTGAGTTTTCCCTTTGTTCAGGGCTCAGTATTGTAAGTGTTTGTATGTGTCTCACTGCATCCTAGTGTTTTCCTAGTTTCCTAGCGTTTCCTTGTATTCTAGTGTTTCGGTTCCCTGATTATCTGCCTGTTCCCGGTTTACCGTTTGCCTTATCCCTGCACGGATTTGATGTTTGTTTGGACTGCTTACCTGGTTTTGACCCCTGCCTGTTTCCTTGTACCTGTCTCTGGATTCTCCTCTTAATAAAGCCTGCGTTTGGATCACCTCTGTCCTTGTTCCACGTGCAGTTCATGACAGAATACTGAGCCACAACTGATCCAGCGGCTGAGAGGAACACGGACCTCGATATGGATCCCACAGCGCAGATCGTAAGCCTCCGTCAAGGAGAACGTCCTCTCAAGGTTTTTGTGACAGATTTTTTGAAGCTCTCTCGTCAGTCCTACTTGAATGATTTCTGTTTGATGATGTTCTTTCGGGGAGGACTGTCTGAACCGCTCGGCTCTGCTATACCATTTCCGTGTTCAAGCTGGACTCTAACCCAATATATTGACCTGGCCCTTTCCATGAGCGGTTCGGCTTTTACTGTGGATTTTTTTAAACTTTTGCTTCACAAAGGACCCGACGATTCATCACTTTACAAGGTACCCACTGAATCCACACATCAATTGTCTCCCGGTGAACCAGCGCATCACACGTGCTCCGCCGAGTTTGCGCTACATGAAAGCCCAGTTGAACCAGCGCTTCGTAAAGGGTCCGCCGTATCCACGCAACATGTGAATCCCGACGTTCTAACACTTCACGTAAGCTCCGTTATATTGCTGCCTCAAGAGTTTTCTACTGAGTCTGAGCGCGTGCCAGCTGAATCAAGTGAGTCAAGTGAGTCAAGTGCCGAGTCAAGTGAGTCAACTGCCGAGTCAAGTACCGCCGAATCAAGTGAGTCAAGTGCCGCCGATTCAAGTGAGTCAAGTGCCGCCGAGTCAAGTGAGTCAAGTGCCGCCGAGTCAAGTGAGTCAAGTGCCGCCGAGTCAAGTGAGTCAAGTGCCGCCGAGTCAAGTGAGTCAAGTGAGTCAAGTTAGTCAAGTCCCGAGTCAAGTGAGTCAAGGGAGTCAAGTCCCGAGTCAAGTGAATCAAGTGCCTTGTCAAGTGAATCTAGTGCCGTGTCAAGTGAATCTAGTACCAAGTCGAGTGAATCAAATGAGTCGAGCCAAATGAGTGAATCCAGTCAAGTCAGTGTATCAAGCCCAGTGACTCGCCGTCGCAGGAGGAGAAGGAGGACTCGTTTGGTTCGCCAGGCTCCGGTGGATGTTCCCAGACTCCTCGCCCTGCCGGCCCCGCCTCTGCGCCACGCCCTGCCGGCCCCGCCTCTGCGCCACGCCCTGCCGGCCCCGCCTCTGCGCCTCGCCCTGCCGGCCCCGCCTCTGCGCCTCGCCCTGCCGGCCCCGCCTCTGCGCCTCGCCCTGCCGGCCCCGCCTCTGCGCCTCGCCCTGCCGGCCCCGCCTCAGCGCCTCGCCCTGCCGGCCCCGCCTCCGCGCCTCGCCCTGCCGGCCCCGCCTCTGCGCCTCGCCTTTCCGGTCCCGCCTCTGCGCCTCGCCTTACCTGCGCCTCTCAAGCTTCGGGAGCCTTTTCCAGTAGCGGTTTCCAGCCCGGAGGCTTTAAATTTCCCCAATAACTTTTTTGGGGGGGGGCAATAGGTACCCTAAGAGGGCCATGGAGGTGGCATCTACGTGGACCCTTGCACTACCACCTACACCTGAGAGGGTCATGGAGGTGGTGCCTACATGGACCTTTGCACAACCACCTTCGCCTGAGCTTACCATGTCACTGGTCCTGTCCAGCCCTGTGCTCCCCACGTCTTGGTCCCCTGTTAAGTGTACTCTGCCCTGGTCCTGTGTTATGTGTACTCTGTCCTGTTCTCCTGTCACTTATGCTCCAGCCTGTCTTCCTGCCAAGCATGCTCCGCCCTGGCTACTTGCGGAGCGTGCCTCCCCTTGGTCTCTTGCCCTGCTCTGGTCTCCAGGCCCCAGGTCTCTCCATGGGCCTGGCCCCGTGCCTCTCCACGGGCCTGGCCCTCCATCCCATCCCCCGTCGACCTCCCTCCGGAGCTCTTAGGAGCATCTGGAAGCCGCTCCTTAGAGGGGGGGTTATGTGACGATCTGCGGCTGGAGTGCCCGCTTGAGCCTCTGGAGGGCACTCCTTCCTAGTTTATTGTTTCCATTATGTTTTACCTTGGACTGATTATGGTTTATTTGTTGCACCTGTTTTAGATTGAGCGTCCCTGATTTAAGCCTGAGTTTTCCCTTTGTTCAGGGCTTAGTATTGTAAGTGTTTGTAGTATGTGTCTCACTGCATCCTAGCGTTTTCCTAGTTTCCTAGCGTTTCCTTGTATTCTAGTGTTTCGGTTCCCTGATTATCTGCCTGTTCCCGGTTTACCGTTTGCCTTATCCCTGCACGGATTTGATGTTTGTTTGGACTGCTTACCTGGTTTTGACCCCTGCCTGTTTCCTTGTACCTGTCTCTGGATTCTACTCTTAATAAAGCCTGCTTTTGGATCACCTCTGTCCTTGTTCCACGTGCAGTTCATGACAGATGGTGGACTCTTCTCCCATTTCCCAACAACCAATGCATCACTTTTACTCCAGTTTATTTTTGGCAGCAGATATGCTTCCAAATTCTTCAACAATTTTAACCAAAGTATTTATGTCATTCTGTCCATTAACCATAATCATTACATCATCAGCATAAGCTGATATCTGATACTGCAAATTGTTGTGAGGTAATACTAAACCTTCTATTTTAGAACGCAACTTATTCAACAATGGTTCGATTGCTATTGCTAAAGAGTACAGCATTCCAGAAAGAGCACATCCCTGTCTAATGCCTCTATTAACTTTGAAAGGGGCGCTCAAACCACCATTGATTTTTTACATACTTTCAATATCTCTGTACAGCACTTTAATTATTACAATAAAACCTGGGCCAAAAGCATTAAGAGTTTTCCAAAGGTACTGGTGCTCAACTCTATCAAATGCTTTCTCTTGATCAATGGAAATGAGTCCTATATTGATACCCAAAAGACCAGCAACAAGAAAAATATTATCAAAAATAGACCTAGTTACGCAGTACGTTTGGTCAGGGTGTATGACCTGCCCCATCACCTCTCTCAATCTGTTGGCCAGAACCTTAGAGAAGACTTTCAAATCAGAGCACAACAAGCTCACTGGTCTCCAGTTCTTAATTTCTTTTTTGGTAGAAGAGTAATCACAGCTCTCCTACAACTCAAGAGGTAGAGAACCCTCAGCTATGCTCTCATTGAGAACACCCAAGAAATCCTCACCCATCACCTCCCAAAAGGCTTTGTAAAATTCAATTGGAAGACCATCGATACCAGGCGCTTTTCCGCCCTCCATGTTCTGCATTGCATTCCAAAGCTCTTGCTCACACAAAGGCCTCTCAAGCACTGCCTTTGACTTCTCCTGTAGCTTTGGTAGACCCGCATAAAAAGCTAGCAGACATTTCTTCATCTTCCTCATATTCACTCCCATACAGTTCATTATAGAACCTCACAGCCCGCTGTCTTATTTCAGACGGCGCTATCAGCTCTTGCCCATTTTCTGAGCGTAGTGAGTGAATATATCGACTCTGGCCATTTTTTCTTTCTAAATTAAAAAAGAATTTGGACGGGGCATCCATTTGCATGAGATTTTGATAACGTGACCTGACCAAAGCTCCCTTTGCAATACATAACTTTTTGGACTTCAGGGCATCAATACCACTCTGCTCTCCAGTGACCTCTATTAATGATTGTAACTCCACAATTTCAGCTTCAAGTTTTTCCATTTTTTGTGCAATATTTTTAGAGACACTAAAAGTATACTGTTGACATAACAATCTAATTTCAACTTTTCCATAGTCCTACCACTGGCGTAAGTTTACAAAACACTCTTTTTAAAATTTAAATTCTTTCCAAAAAAAGACAAAAACCTCTTTAAACTTTAAATCACTCAACAGAGAAACATTAAAATGCCAATAGGCACTCTTTGACCTAATATTTGCTATAAAGAGTTTACATGTAACAATAGCATGATCAGAGAAACCAGATGGACTAATAACACAACTTTTCATAATATCAAAATGGTGTTTAAAACAGTATAATCTATCCAATCTGGCCAAAGAAATTAAATTCTCTCGAGTATGTGTCCACGTATATTGTTTATCATTTTTATTCAAACGCCTCCATATATCACACAATTTATGAGTCTCAATCAATGTTTGCAAAGCACGGCTTGAGGCTTCATGAGGCTCAACATGATTTCGATCGAATACATAATTCTCTGTGCAGTTGAAATCACCACCTAAGAACAAATATTCATCTGAATTACAGCTCTGCAAGACTCCATTGAGATTATTAAAAAAACAAACTCTCTCAGTGCCATAAGTGGGAGCATACACATTAATAAACACAACATTGAATTTTTCAAATTGTGCCCGTATAGCAATAAGTCTACCAGGAATGTCTTGTTTCACCTCAAAAAAGGCAGGAGTAAAATGTTTAGCAAATAAGACAGCCACCCCTCCTCTAGTAGAACTCATATGAGAGCACAGCACCACTCCTTCCCATTCTTTTCTCCAGTCAATTTCATTTATACTATCACTGTGTGTCTCCTGAATAAACACCACATCTATTTGCTTTTGTTTTATTAATTCAAATAATAGTGCTCTTTTATACGGATCTCGTGCCCCACTCATATTAAGAGTGCCTACCCTCACTGCACTCATTAAAAAAATAAATGAGAGAAGGACTCGAATTAAGACAAGCTTCAGTGTGTAGGAGCAAAATAGACTATATCGTTTCAAACCCATCCTCTACTTGAAGTTCTGATCTTAACTTTGCAACAAATTTCTTTAATCTGTCAATTTCTTGAACAGTAAACTGTTCTTCACCCTCGCCTTGCATTAACATCCCCACAGAATCAACGAACATTTTACGGTCTGGGAAGAAATCTGTAACCTGGACATTTTTCATGTTTTTTGTTACTTGTAAAAAAGACCTAACTTTTCCAAAAGAGTAAGCACTACGCCTTCTCCTTTTGTCCAAAGTATCACTATCAGAATCCTCAGCAGTACTGCTTTCAACATCCTTACATGCATCAACTTGTGTTTCTGGCAGTTGTTTTGACTTTGTATCCCCTTTTTTTTATTTTATTCCTTTTCCTCTTAACAGAGGGCATCTTAAAAATTGCCCCATCACTCACATACTCCTCACTAACCCCATCTTCCATCACCAGATCAACT